GACACCTTTTCTGCACAACTCAAAACGACCTGAAAATTGATGGAGATTTATTTTGGAATATATAAAAATATTGGCGAAAGAATTAACAGAAGGGGGGCGACCAGGTAGCCATAAGCCTGCCCCGCCGAGCTTGTGGGGCCCCTGTCAGGCCTCCGAAGCCCATCTTCTACTATATGATGCCATTTGACCTAGAAAAAATCAGAAGAAAGGTCTCGGGATGAAGTGCCACCGTCTCAAGGCGGAACCTGGTCGGAGCACTTTTGTTCTCTAGCGGAGGGAGGGGGGAAATCGAAGCAATCATCATCACCAATCGAAGCCATTGCATTTGGTGCATCGGTTTGAGTTCTCCATGGTGGTACGTGGAAGTGAAGTTGAGAAGCTTGTTACTCTTGGGTGTTTGGGCACCCTAGAGCTTCCCTCTTGGGTGCCTTGGTTACCTAGACGATTGGTGTTGTCAGAGCTCAATCATTATGGTGTAAAGCTCCGGGCAAGCATCGGGGTCCTCAATTAGGTCGTGGAAATCGCCCCGAGCAATTTGACGGGTACCTATGACCACCCCCAAGGGTTGCCAAAGTTTACGGATTCGGTGGCCACCCTCAAGGGTTGCCATTTGTACAGGTTCGGTGACCGCCCTCAAGGGTCCCTTAGTGGAATATAGGCATCTTACATTATGCGAGGGCGTGAGGAGATTACAGTGGCCCTAGTGGCTTCTTGGGGAGCATTGTGCCTCTACACCGCTTCAAACGGAGATTAGCATCCGCAAGGGTGTGAACTTCGGAATATACCGTCGTCTCTGCGTGCCTCGGTTATCCCTTACCCAAGCCCTTTACTTATGCAGTTTACTTTGTGATAGCCATAGTGTTTCATGTTACATATATTGCTATCACATAGTTGTTTATCTTGCTTAGCATAAGTTGTTGGTGCACATAGGTGAGCCTAGTTGTTTTAGGTTTTGTTCTTGACAAATTAAATGCTAGTTTTATTCCGCATTTGTTCAAGCCTAAACCGTAATTATTTTAAAGCGCCTATTCACCCCCCCTTTAGACGACATCCATGATCTTTCACTTGGCATGGCCCCTATACTACCCTTGCCAAGAAGATGGCCCCTATGCTACCCTTGCCAAGCAAAAGGCCAATTCTTCCACTCCCAGTGCATGCAGTCCATGCCGCCAAGCATCCTCGGGAAGCCTCTGCTAGCATTCATCACCAACAAGCGGGTTGTATCTTCGTCATTTGGCTCTCTCAAGTACTCAGGGCCAACACTGCAATCACAACCTTGCAGAACTTGTACATGGAGTCTAGGCACGTAGACTCGCTCATAAGGACGTACTGATCAATGAGATCACCAGACACTCTGTATGCAAGCATCCGGATAGCTGTGGTGCATTTATGATAAGAGGAAAAGCCAATCTTTCCAAGGGTATCCTCCTTGCACTCGAGATACTTATCGTATCCGACCACACCCTCCTGAATACGATTGAAAACATGGCTAGCCATGCGGGAATGGCGCCGAAATTGGTGATGTTTGAAGAGCGGGTCGGTGTCTCAAAGTAGTCCTTCCAAAGAACGAAATGATCGCTCTCTCGGTTGCGATTCAACACTGGAGTGTGCCCTGGGATCGAGCCCCGGAACAACGGTCGTTGCCTACTAAGGTGGTCATAGACGACCAACACGACAACCACAATCTCCTCATCATCCGATGAGGAATCATCGGAGTTGCAGAGGAAATTATGGAAAAAAAACTCGTCGACGGAGTTCATTTGTACCTTGGGGGCAAACTGTCGAACAACTTCCGACGTCGTCGAAGAAGCTGGCCGGCGAAGAGATGCGCGCCTTCCCTGGACCAGGTAGCTGGCCTAGCGGCGTCCGACGAGCGTGGCCGTGTCAGACGAAGGAGCTGACCGAGGGCGCGAGGGACGACTTTGTGCTCAAGGCGATGTCAGGGGGTGGGAGGAAGCTGCGGTGGCCCGAGGGCGAGGTGGTGGTGGTGGCGACGTGAAAGGTGGCAGCGTGCGGGGGAGGTGTATGGGCGCAGACTGCTGGCAGGGGCACTGGAATTAGGCGGTGACAGCGGCGAGGTGGGGCGGGCGAGGGCTTACTGACGATAGGGGTGGAAAAGAATGTTCTATGTGCCATTGATTGGCGGGCAGGAGGGGGCAGTAGGCAGGTGTCGTGCGCGTCCGTTTTGTGTTCGTGCGGATGCAAATGAAGCCTAAATTTAACCAGTAATAGGTCGTCGTCCGATGGACGAAAAACGAACGTGTGTTTGTTTGAGTTGGTGTGTTGGATTAATTTTTTTGTTCACGACTATCCAAACAAATATGCGTGGGTGAAATGGGTCGGCGGGTTGGAGTTGCTCTCACCGCGGCCGCGTGAGATATTTGCGCGCCGTGCGCGCCATTCCCTCTCTCTCCTTCTCGCTGCGTGCTCTTCGGTTCAAATCAAAAACGAAAAGAACTACTAGTACCCCGTCTCTCGGAACGTCCCGTCAAGCTGCACACACCGCCCTCTCTGCCCACTACTCGTACTGGAGCGGCAAAATTAACAAATTTGACCTATGAACAAAATTAAATTACAGAATGAACTGCCCGTGAAACTATTTCACGTGGCTGACTTTTTGTGTGATGCCCGACACGAAGGCGTCACATTACACTGTGCAACGCCTCGTAGATAGGCGCTACACGCCTGGCCAGCGTCACACCCATGTGATCCGAAAATTACTAAGTCAGTGTGCAGCGCCTGAGAGCTAGGCGCCACACTATACAATGCAGCACCTAGCTCGTAGGCTCTGCACAATAATTTAGCAATTCTTAGGCAGTTTGGGGTGCAATGTTGGCCAGGTGTGTAGCGCCTATCTGTGAGGCGTTGCACAATGTAGTGTGACGCCTTCGTGTCGGGCGTCACAGAAAAAGGTCAGCTGCATGAAATAGTTTCACGAACAGTTTATTCTGTGATTTGATTTCGTTTAAAGGTCAAATTTGTCAGTATCTCTCTCTCCCCTCGTTGCTTCCTCCTGCCCTGCCGTCCCGTCGTCATCGCAGCTTCCCCAGACGCTGCTTTGCCATTAACCCCCCGGCCCGGCCGCCCCCCTCACCCCGCATTGACCAACCCATCCAGGAAAACGAAGAAAACAAGAAACTCCAAAGCTCTCTAGTCTTTGCCGTGAGCAATCGGCAGAGGTACTAGAATCCACCCGGTTGGTTGCAGATTCGACTGATGTTTTCGGTAGCAGACATTTTTTTTCCTGATATTGTTCCGTATTTTTGGACCTCCTTGATCTTGTTTTGCTCTGTTCTTCGTGGTTCCATCCCATTCGTTCTTGGTCACCGCAGATTTCTGCCTGCATTTCTTCCTGAAGCTACATTCCAGTTTTGTAGTAGTATGCTGCAATACTCGCCTACTCCCCTTTCTGTCCTTTATTGACCTGCTTGATTTTCCGCTTTGCAGATCTGTTAGGGGGGCGCTGTTGCATCCACTCCTGCTGAGGTGACGTTTTCCCTGCAACTTGTTCGTATTATTATTTTTTTGTCATCAGAGAAACACCATATTTCTGGGATGGGGGAGTTCGTCAGTGTTTATCATGATAGATCTTGATGTTGTAAGCTGTAACCGTTGCTGTTTCTAGAAGAGGTAGAATAAAAAAGCACAAATTGTGCTATCCCTATTCCCCTCTTAGTATTTGGTACTACATCAAACGTAAACATTTTCGGAAAACATAAAAACGTGCTACTCAGCTAAAATAAGGGCTCTTGGACAACACTGTAAATCTACAATAAAACAGATTCGACACGGAAACTTCACATATAACTAGAGCACTTGGTACACGTGCCATTTTTTCTTGTCAAGTATGCGTGCATGTCGAACTGATTTGTGGTTACAAGATGCTCCCAAGAATCTTTTAAGCATTTTGGCTTTCGATTGTAAACCTATTCATTAATCAATAAACTCCCCAACTTTCCCACACAAAAAAAGTATACGTGCATATCGATTCGTCTAACTGATCATTTACCTGCCATTTTAGGGCGCCCAATTGCATTTTTTCTGTGACAACTCTTTTAAAATCATTACATGAGTATGCCTCACCGTGTGATGTGCAATCCAATTGTATGCTCTGACTTATTCAGAAATCGACATGATGTTTTCCTTTTACTCTGATTAACCGGTAATGACAGAGTTTTCAGATTAATTTTTATTTCCATGTCTGGTGTCTCCAGTTAGCACTTTATACAACACAAATACAGATTCGAGTTTTATTTTCCTAGGTTCCGATTTTCATTGCTGTTCTTAATTTAATGTAATGTAATTTCGAAGTTGATCCTAGTAGGGACTTTAAATTTGATCATGTCTTATGGTTGACATTTGTCACTAATTTGATCTTTCATGCCCACACATATAATTTTTTTAAAATTCTTTCATATGTGGTTGAAACTATTTCTATTTAGCAAAATAATTCAGGGAAATCAGGAGTTCTCTGTATCAAGATTTAGATTTGCATTTATTATTATGAATTTTTTAATTCTCAGAACATTTATTTGGGCGCACATTTATCGATTTACAAGTATGTTGACTTCATGCATGGTTTAGATTCCAGCTAATACTATTTAATTTTCCTTTTATATTTGGAATATGCAGACAAATGGGTTAGTAAAACTAAGATTTATGAACAAGAAATGACACCTTGGATAATACTTCAATTACCTTTATTTTGCTCTTTAGGTAATTTATTGGCAACTGGCAGTTGTTATTTTGGCACCTCATGAACTTGTACCAAAGAAAGTTTGCGTGGATGAAGAATAAAAGTACAAAAAGGAAAAGAAAGTGCCATCTCATTAAATTTAGCGGAATAATGATACTTAAATTCTGAGGACAGTAAAGATTGTGTACTGCTTCTAACCCCTGACCACGGATATATCGGTTACTGGTTTCCACAATAATTGGTTGATAAATTAAACCCAAATGGATCTATATTCTGATATTTTATAGGTCCAGTTGCAGGCTATATGGCTGAGACGGGAGGCGCACGTTGTTTGCATGCAAGCCTTGATGTGTTGGCTTCTGATGTTCACTCCAGGCTGGAGTTCCACAAGAGTGCCTATACGGACTACGCCGGCATCAACAATGCGCTTCACTGTGTCATGGAGGAAAAAGCAAATCTTGAGCTACAACAGAATGGTAAAAACTCTTGTGTTTTAGTAGGAATTTTCATATCCTTTAGTATGTAATAATAACCGTCTAGGTGATAACTTTGAAGTGCTCGTAATTTCTACATAAGAAGATCGTATCGCAAGAGATGAATTCTGTTGCCTTGACATAATAGGATCATCAGAAACACAGTACTCCCATCTGTTTGTTAAAAGATATGTTTTGTGCATGGACATGGTCTCTGCTATGCAATTTTTCTATGGTTGTCACATGAATTTGTTAATAGAAATTTGAAAATTTGTGATATGATAAATGCATTTTCTCTTACTGGTCTAATAGTATTAGTTTCAAAATAACGATACTAAATAAGTTTTCACATGGTGAGTCACAGTTAGAAATGTTTTGACTGTACACATTCTAGGATGTCATCTAATTACGACAGGGCGAGTAGTTTACTACCTTAAGCTATACAAAAATAATACCGACACTTCACACTTGAACTTTTATTGTCAGCCAAACCAAAAGATAATCCTAAAAAACTAAACTGAGCTTTGTTCTATTCTTTTTGGTACTGTGAACAGCTGTCACTGAAAAGGACAAACTGATCACTGAAAAGGACAAACTGATTGCTGAACTGAAAACAAGGAATGAAGAACAGGCAGCAGAGATTGAATCTCTAAAGGAAGAGCTGGAAGCAAGGGAGTCAAGCCATGTACTACTAGCACTGCAGGGAAGTGGTCTTCAGAGTAGCCAGTCTGGAAGAGTGAGTATTTTTCCTTGGAGCAATTGGAAATTGCATTTTGATTGCTAATCCTTGCTGTGTTGAATGAATTAGAGGGACACTACCTCTGTTCAGATTGCAGATTACAGTATAGCATCTTGATCGTTCTTTTGTTTATGGATTTTTTTATCAGATCTTCAGTTTATTAGCTGCAGTTGATCTATGTGGATCTTTATTTGCAGTAGTTCTGTCGAGTAGTTACATTTCATTGGGTCATTGACTGGTAAACTAGTATAGTGATCATTGTCTTATTCTTATTTGGAGTCATTGATCTTGGTAATTTAACAAAGTACAAAATTATCCACTTTATTGTGTACGTGTGTTTGTCAGCGCCATGTAATGCCCTGATGAATCTTTATGCACAGAATAAACGGACACGAGAATCTGATGGCAACGGTGAAGTTGCTGATGAGCATGGTGTTATGGACAATCCTGATCAAGATGATCAAGGTTTAAGCACTGAGCTTGAGAATGCTAAAAAGGAACTTTCTGATATCCACTCTAAGCTGATCAAGGTTCGGTCACCCTCTGCTGACATTAGATTCTGCATGCATTCTGATCATTACTTTTTGAACTTTTTTTATATGGCAAACAGTGGGGAAAAGCCCCACTGCAGTTTTTATTAATAATAACTAGAAGCAGTGAAGTGTACAAGACGATAAGCAGAGTTAACCCAGAGAGCTTAATAAATGAATAAAGACCTAGTAAAAGAAAGAAAATAATACAAGACGTTTCAGGTGATACCTACTTAAAAAAAAATTGAAAATCCTTGTTGAAGTTACTCAGCCATTCTTTGGAAAGTGTGGAATGTTTGCTCGTAGCTCTATGGCCAACCATGGCTTGTTTGGTCACACCATTTTAACTGTTCTGTTGAAAAATGGACACGAGGTGGAATATTGAAAATTTCTTGTGCTCCAGGGATTCATGGATATTAGTGCTACTTCAACACGGAATATTGCAATAAAGAATATAGGCGAATTGAGCTACAAGCCGTTCCAACAGGCATGCCTTAAGAAGCTGCCTCCAGAAGAAGCTTCGAAGAAAGCTTCTGAGTTTTACAACTTTTGGCAGAAGCAGCTGCTGAACCCAGAGTGGAATCCCTCCAAAACTGTCATGGAGAAAGGTAACCCTGAGGAAGGTATCTCTAAGGTACTACTGCACCGTCTTGTCTGAACCTCAAAGTTCTTTTACAGACCATAGCCTGCGTTCCTTATCATTTGGTGGAGATGATAATTTATGAGATTTTACTATTATTTGTGTGATTAGGAGATTGATGTCCATGATGCCGATCTGCTAAAGCTACGTGCTGAATGGGGTGAAGACGTGTACAAGGCTGTGGCGAATTGTTTGGTGGAAATCGAAAAATGTGGCAGGCTGACGGACAGAACCATCATACCCGTGATTTGGCATCAAAAGGCGGACAGGACAGCCACTCGCAGTGAAAGTGTTGAGTACATGTGCAGCCAAGTGAGGCGTCTGAGAACTCGCAGGTATGACAGTACGAGCTTAACATGTGTTTTCAAGTAAGAATCTTCTGCTTCTTAAAGATTGTCCTTTGATATTTGGCTAGAATCTTTTTTGTGTATAATTTAAAACAGAAACATCAGTACTGATTGGAACGCCATAATGGTATTCATAGTTTTTGATGCTTGTGAGAAATGGCAATGCAAACTAGTAGGAGTATCTCTTAGGAGCTGAGAAAGCCAAACATTTTTGGCCTTCTAATACATACTAAATAGATCTCGCATGATTTATAGTAGCCGATTTGTATTAAGTGAAAATCTTATATGAACCTATGTCCACATTTACCCCTCCATGAGTTTGTAGACTTTTGTGCTTCCAGAAATTTTGCTGAAAATCACAATGTTATAAAAATGTTAAATTTAGGTACATGTAACAAATTGTGAAAAAAAAAGAACCATATGTGCTCTGTACAAAAGATGAAGATAAGAACATGTCTTTGCTACGTAATTTGGTACCTCCTGTTTCCTTTTACAGTACACATAATCACATTCTTCAATGAATATTTGTACATGCACCTAAATTACTTCGTGCAGTACCATGAATGTTTGAGATCTTTTGATACAAACACTTGAATAAGTTAATATGAATGAGCCCACGCTCATAAAACATAAAATTTGATTTGATAAAATTAGATTATATATAGTGCCCATTAAATATATTTTGAAGACTTGTCTGGATGTATGCAGGAACTGACTTTGCAGGCGCAAGGCAGGTTGGTGGAAGAACATGGAGGTGATTTACTGTTCTTTGAATCGCTTTAATGTGAGATCCTAGAAATTCTGGACCTTATACATTTTGAGATCTGAAGGAAAAACATAAACCTAGCTGATGTTGCATGAAAAATTATTAAAATTAAACCAATACATCTGATGTAACCTATATAACAGTACAGTCATAATTGCCTTAGCTGACATCTTATCCTGTTTTCTGACTAGGTCTGTCGTATCGACTCCATTTTGGAAACAGGGGCAGTAGAAGTAGCAAACCTATGGTGAAGAACTGAAGACTGGAGAGTCTGATTTTGTCGAAGAACGAAACCGCAGCTGATCGTATGGCAGAACATTGTCATGATCGGTGTGTTATGTGATCGTTTAGTACTACCTAACTACCTGGAACCTTAAAATAGATTAACGCAAGCAGCCCTTTTGCCCATCGTATTTTAGCTGTCCTCTTAGTTTCAGTGTTCTTCTGGACTCTCCGGCAGCAATTCAGCGGCACCTACATTACTTTGAACTGTAAAGCTTGCTGATGAGGGGAACTTTTGCATCGTTGCACTGTCGTGCTGCACTGCAAACGTAATATATTAAACTAGCCTTTTAAATTGTCTCTTGCCTGTTTTAGTGTTTGTCTAACCTGGCCATTTTTTGAGCAAACACATTTCGGCAACTGGCTTGGTAAATCTAATTAGTTTTTGACCGCGACGACAACGACGTTATGATGGCCCACAAAATCACAACTTCAGTAAAATAAACGCTTAAAGTTTCAATTCTGAAACTGGATGAGCAAGCGACTGAGAAAATCGCAAGTTTCAAAGATTAAAACTCGAAACTTACGAAAGATTAAAACTTCAAACAAAGATTAAAACTTGAAACTTACGAAAGATTAAAACTTGAAACTTACTGTGTCCTTGTATGAGATCCAACTACTGTGTGCTCCCACACCTGCGTGCCCATATGAATTTTTGAGAACTTGGGGCAACTGCAACGCCGATCATCAAAACAGATATCACTAAATGTTCGTTTGCTCCCGCACCTGCGTGCCCATATGAATTTTCGAGAACTTAGGGCAATTACAACGCTGATCATCAAAACAGATATCACTAAATGTTCATTGTCACGCCCAGACTTCCCGTGGACAGGATAGAGGCGGAGGACATCCAACCAGAGTCACCAAATAAAAAGCAGACACTGATCCGGTGCGTCGTTGGCCTCCACGTCCTACGCCTCGAAGAGGCGGTTTCGCTCCGTCTTGTTCACGCGGAACAACCACCTCTCACGTCGGATGGTGCAGGCGCTGCACACAGTATTGAACACCGTCCGTTGCTTGTCCATGATGCTCGGATCCATCGTGACCATGGTCCGACGGCCTGGCCGGACGCCTGCTCCCCTGCGATCTAGTACTCCGCCAGCAAGTTCCCCTCGAGGAGTTGCAGGTTGTATCACTGCTCCTCATGCAGTAGCCGCAACATGGACGCCGACAATGCATGTTTATCTTGCTCCACATTCTCCATCACCCGGTTGTAGTGTTATTTCGCTTGCAGCAGGGTGAACCTGTCAACCGGTGGCTCATGCACCGATGTGGGCGCCTGCTCCTCCTTCTCTGCTTCCTTCGTCGTCTCGTCCTCCTCATCGGAGCTCGGCTTATGAGAGGTCTAAGGCTGTCCCTCCGAAATGCAGGTCGTGCGTGGGGATTCCCACGCGTGCACCTCGACCACAATTTCATGGCGGCGTCATGACGACAATTTCTTTCACCACCCAGGATGGGTCCCGACCATTGCGACAATGGTGGATGAAGGAGGAAGGGGTGGTGTGCCGACGTCTCGAATGAAGGGAGATGAGGCTCGGAGGGGTAGGGTTTTGTGGCATCGCGGGCTTGCTTTAAATAGCGGGTGCCCAGGCAGTCGGGGCCGTGGCTTGAATGCGGGTGCTCGAAGTTGGCTTCTCGTTTGCCGCATCGGTCGGTCAACCGTCTTGAATGCGGTAGGAAGCCATCCCGTCGTCCCGCACGATAATGTTCTCTCTGAAAAGGCATGAATGCGGCGGGGAGAGCAAGCGGACATGGCGGGAGAGGCGGAGCGGCGACTTGAATGCGGGAGCCCGGAGTTGGCTTCTCATTTGCCTCACCGGTGTGAATGCCAGCCGGCTTCAGTACGGTAGAAAGTTGTCCCATTGTCTTGTTCAGTCAAGTTCATTCTAAACCGGCATGAATGTGATGCGGCTTGTAAGCGGACGTGTCGCGAGAGGTGGGAGATGGGTTTTTGACATGGGCCCATGTTGTTGAAGGCATATGCAGCAGAGGACCAGGCAGCTGCAAAGATCCCTACGTTTGGTTTCGGTTTGTGGAATTTTGGACGGCCACACCGGTCCGGGCATTTTTAATGACCGGTGCTATATGACAAAAATATATTCAAACTGTTCAATCCAGATATTGTGTAGGCCATTTGGTGGAGTTGCCCTTATGAAACAGTAGGATCATCTATATCTATATCTATATCTATCTATACCAATATAAGAAGACCCAAAAAGGCAAATCCAAATAATCTCGGTCATTAAATCATGTCAATCCAACGACCTAGACTGCTTCAATGTCGAGCGCTCAACACGTTTAGCGTGCAGTTAATTTCATGCCAAATATAGTGCTAATCACATAATAACACGCAAATAATATCCGACTTAATATCCGCATACATTTAATATACTTCTAAATTAACGTGCATTGCACGTACACATTGACTAGTTTTTAGAAGGAGATTTGTGCACTGATTTTACCGAGAAGGAGATTTCGGATGCTTTGTTTCAGATCGGGCCTCTTAAGGCACCGGGCCCGGACGGGTTTCCCGCTCGGTTTTTTCAGAGGAATTGGGGTACTGTTAAGGAGTGTATTGTGGCGGCGGTCTAGGAGTTTTTCCGGATAGGGGTAATGCCGGCAGAGGTCAACAACACTAATATAGTTCTGATCCCGAAAATCCAGAACCCTGTTAAGATTACAGATTTCCCCCCAATTAGCCTCTGCAATATAATCTACAAGGTGGTTTCTAAGTGCCTTGTTAACCGTTTGAGGCCGGTGTTGGATGGGATTATTTCTCCAACGCAAAGTGCTTTTATTCCTGGGCGAATGATAACTCTTTGATTGCTTTTGAGTGTATTCACCATATCAAGCAGGAAAAGGATCCTACAAGGAGTTTTTGTGCCTATAAGCTAGACTTATCCAAAGCTTATGATAGAGTTGATTGGAATTACCTTAAGCAAATGATGCAAAAACTTGGCTTTTGCTACCTCTTGAGCACTACGTTGGTTTTCCCTTGAAGAGGAAAGGGTGATGCAGCAAAGCAGCGTAAGTATTTCCCTCAGTTTTTGAGAACCAAGGTAACAATCCAGTAGGTGACCATGCGCAAGTCACCTCGTACCTACACAAACAAATAAGAATCTCGCAACCAACGCGATAAAGGGGTTGTCAATCCCTTCTCGGCGACTTGCAAGAGTGAGATCTGATAGAGATAATAATAAGATAAATATTTTTGGTATTTTTATGATATAGATTGAAAGTAAAGATTGCAAAATAAAATAGATTGGAAACTTGTATGATGGAGAATAGACCCGGGGGCCATAGGTTTCACTAGTGGCTTCTCTCAAGATAGCATAAGTATTACGGTGGGTGAACAAATTATTATCGAGCAATTGATAGAAAAGCGAATAAATATGGGAATATCTAGGTATGATCATGTATATAGGTATCACGTCCGTGACAACTAGACCGACTCCTGCCTGCATCTACTACTATTACTCCACACTGTCGGCGTTCTGGAAACGGGGGTCCCCATACTTGCCTGCCTGCGGCCTGCGGCGTGGCTCAAGTGGGGGGCCCAGCGCGGCCCATCTTCATCAGCTCAAGCTCAAGACCCTCGCGAGGGGCCAAGCCTCGCGGGGCGGACGACAGGAAGCTTCCTCAGAGGCAGCCTCGTCAGGCAGGCTCGCGAGGAGGCGGAGAGATCAAGGCGGGGATACCTCGCGAGGAGCCCGTGACGCAAGCCATGACAATCGAGACCAGGCGGGCGCCAGGCGGGCGCCGGCCTGTGCAGTGTCCTTGTTTCCCCTTTGGTGCAAAGGGAGCAAGCGCAGGCCAAGGCATCGGGCAAAGGTTACCATTCCGGTGCAACGAGACCAAGACCAGCAGAGCGGCAGGACGGAGGTCACAGTGGAGCCCAAGACGGCGTCATCACCAGTACTTTTGGCAGCCGAAGACCACCTTTGGTCAGGATAACATGTACTAGATGTTCCCCTTCAAAATGGCCAATTGTTGGCGCCCTTCCCGCTCATTATTTGGGAAGAGGCACAAGGCCCCTATAAATAGAGCTAGCCACCACAGAGTAGGGAGAGACATCAATCCATCGATCGGGAGAGATCTGGTGGAACCCCAGCAGAGAGAGAGAGGCGACTGAACTCACCCTAGCAGTT